CTCCCTCCCCACCTCTTTCCCTCCCTTCCTCTCTTCCCCCTTCCTCTACTCTCCCCCCCTCTCCTCCTCCCACTCCTCCCTCTCTCCTTCCCACCCCTCCCCCTTTTCCTCCTCTTTACTCCCTCTCTTTCTTTCTCCTTCTCTCCCCCCGCTTCCTCCTCTCTCCCCCTCCCTCTTCCCCTCGTCCTCCTCTCGCCCCGCCCCGCCCCTCCCCTCCCCATCTCGGGCCTAGACCGCCGCGGGCTCAGGGCGCGTGCGCGGCGCCAGGAGTCTCGGTCACGTGCCGCCCCGTCCCGCCCCCGCTCGGCCCCGCCCCCAGGAGGCAGAGGCGGCCGAGGTGGCTGTCCGTGGTTGCGGCGTCTTCGCGGCTCGGGGCTGAGTAGGCGGCTTTGGCCCGGGGCGAGCGAAGGAGGGAGCGGAGCCGGAGCCGGAGCCGGAGCCGGGTGAGTGTGAGCTGGGCCGGACGCCCCCACCCCTCCCCTCCCCCTGGGCCCCCCGCAGACAGGGGAGGGGGGGGTGCGGGGGCTGCCCTGGGGCAGGCACACAGCAGGCGCCTAATGGATGGGTGCAGGCGGGCGGCAGGGCGGGCCTGGGGCGGGGGCGCGCTCGCCTGATTTCTGACCCCTCCCCTTTGGTGCCCTCCCCCTCCTCGGTGACCTTGGGGGGGGGTCACGGCCTCGCCGGGGATCTCCAAGCGTCAGGCCCCCGCCCCGGCCGTGCCCTTCCTGGCCACCCGTGGGCCTCGGCGCGGGGGGGGGCACCAAGTTCGTGACCTCGGAGCCCCCCCCCCCCGCGGGGCCTTCGCACTGGTCGCGTCTCGGCCGCGGCGAGGACTTAGTATGCACCTGCTGCATGCGAGGCGGGGCCCCTGCGGGGCGAGTGGGGGCACGGGGGCACCCAGGAAGCGCCTGGCGCGAGCTCGACTTTCACGCGGGTGGGGGAGGGGGTGCACGCGAGGCTTGGGGCACCCCCAGCCTGGGCAGAGGCGGGAGGCCGCTTTGGGGGGGTCCCCGATCAGGGACGTTGGGGCCACGGGGAGCAGCCAGAGCAGGGGCTCTGGTGCCCACGTGTGGAGCAGGTGACAGAAGCCTTAGGCTGTGCCCTCCCGTGGAGAGCTCGGCCTCCGCGGGCGACTGCAGAACCGGGCACGGGCCTTGCGCTGTGTGCCAGCCCTTCACGAGGGAGGACAGCTGTTATTTTCCCGCAGGCCGAGCATCCCTGTTTCCTGCACGGTGTCCAGGCCCTTCATCCTGGTGGCTTTCCTTTGACTTCCAGGGCCCCGTGTTCCCTCTCAGCTCCCACCAAGCCCCCCGACTTGTTGGCCGGGCTGGCTGGATTTTGAGGTGTGGGCTGGGCCTGGGAACTCCGGCCCCCAACACGGTTTTCAGGTGGTTCCCACGGGAGGGCATCGTTGCCTTCTTGCTTCAGGACAGCCCCTGTAGTGGAAGGAGGTCTCTGTCTGAACTCTGTGACTCTGGACAGGTTAGATTACATAGGCTTTACAGCTGGAAGGAACCTTCGCCTTTAGCCAGTCCCCTGTCCTTCGTGGCAGTCACCAGGTTTGGGGAGGGGGGGCAGTGCCAGGCTGGGTGGGGGAGGGGGCCGTGGTGCTCGTGACAGCAGGAACAAGGTTGGGGAGGGGGTAGAGGTACTGGCGACGGCGGGCCGTTCTTCCGGTGCCAGTGCTGGCTTGGGTGGCCGTCAGGAGGCTGGCAGAGGTGAGGGGGCGCAGAGGTGGTTGTGACAGTGGCGGTGACTAGGCTTTGGAAAGGAGAAGGTCCCAGCCGCGGCTGTCCCAAGATTATTGAGAATACCACCTAGCATTTCTCTAGCACTTGAAGAATTGTCAAAGGCTTTACGTATTTTCTCTCATTTGATCTAGCCTAGAGGTAGATGCTGTCATTATCTCCATTTCACAGTCGAGGAAACTGAGGCACCGAGGGGCAGTGATTTAACCAGGATCGTACCAATAGCTATTAAATGACTGAGGCAGGATTCCAGCTGGGGTCTACCAAATTCCAAGTCCCTCAGTTTATCCACTGGGCCAAGACCCAGAGCCCGGTTCACTTTCCCAGCTAAGCCCTTGTGGTTCTGTCGTCCTCGGGGGTTTAGCCGCTTTCCCTTTAACCCCTCCCTAATCAGTCCTAGGATTTTAGAGGGGGAAGGAAACTCAGTGACCTCATCTTAGCTCACACCAGAAAATGAATACCCCACCCCAACCATCTCCCCTTAGACCTCAATGGAGACAACCCAGGACCCTGAGCCCGAGGGCCCAGGGAATGACAGAGTCCCCTCCCCAACTAAAAGAACTGCCTTGCCCTGACTGGCTTGAGCCCATCCCCCGAGCCACTGTTGAGGGGAACAGTCCTCATGGAGAAGGGACCCACCTTCCTCCTCCTCACACCGGCAGCAATTGCTGGCCAACTGCCACCAACTGTCAGAAAGGCCCGAGAACCCTGCAAGGGGCAGCACCTCACAGATCGAAGGTCCTGCTTCTGTGGTGAGGGGCCAGTCATCCCTACCAGCTACCATGCCCAGGCCCTGAAACAGTCGGGCACCTTGGGGGAGAGATGGGAGGTAGCATGTGCCAGACAGATTCACCCCCCCAGCCCTCCCCATCTCTCATCCGTAGCCTCCGTTCTGGAAGGCTGTCCCTGGCCGCTGCAGAAGCTCATGGAACGAGACCGCCTGGGGCCCTTCATTAAAAGCCCTTGTCCTGGGAAGCTGCTCCACGTGCATTTCACTTTCCACGATACGATGCCATCTTCAGAGCCTTCTAGAGAAGGAAAGAAGGGTCCCTGGTCTGGGTGGCTCCGTGGGTTAGAAGCTTTTTCAGGCAGAGGAGAACGTGGAGGGGGCAGAAGAAACTTGGGCTCTCCTAACCTACCCTTCTCACTTGTTATCTCAAGAGAAGCCACAGAAATAGAGAAATTAGAACCAATGCCACCACTTTTCGTGAGTTAGCAATAAGGGAATGAGTGGGTATTTTAAGAGGAACTTTAGCTGTTATGAATGAAAAAGCATCTAAGTGCTTACTGTCGCCCGGTCTCTGTGCCAAGGACTGGGGGCACATGAAATACAAGCAAGGCAGACCCTTCCTCCAGGAGAGGAGTGGTCAAGGAGCCAGGCTTTTAGATGGTTCATCTGGTTGTTTCTCTTCTTTGAGCTAGGGTTGGAAGTGGGGGTAGGGCATGAGACGGAATCTAGGAAGATGGATCTGAATGCTCCCTGCCCGATCAAAAGCCCCTATCGGGTGGGGGAGTCATGGGGTCTGAACTCAGCCACCCATCTGTTCTCTCTAGTAAGCACCTAGCTGCATCATCTCCAGATGTTCCTCCATTTCTTTCAAGTCATCCCCTCAACAACCGTTTGCTTTGCCCCAGTCTTGTGCAAAGACAAGGCTGAGGCCTTGTCTAGAAAGAGGCGTGTAGAATGCTTGTGGTGGTGTCTGCGTGGCGCAGCTGGGGCCAGTGTGGGTCTCTGGTTTGTCCTCACTGTGGGACCATGGGCAAGCACCTTGCCTTGCCTAGGTCTGAGTTTCCTAGTTTCTGAAACTCAGATCCTAACACTTCAATTTGGTGTTGAAGCATCCAACTGGAGAATGTATAGAAAGCTGAAGTCTTAAAGGGTTAGGCATATGTCCTTGCCCTCAGCCTCCTCGAGATAAGCGCTTGGGCTGTTAATGTCATCTAGATGACCAAGTAGCTTTATAAAGGTACTGGGAGAACCAGTAAATGTCCTAGTGGTGTGTGGGGTGGGGGTGGGGGGCGGAGAAGGGGAATAGTTACAGGATAAGATGGCGTGTGGTAAGTGGCCCTCCCTCCAGTGTATTTACTTACATGTCTACGTGCTGTACCCTGACCCCTCAGAATGTTAAGTCAGCAGGCATTTACCATGTGCCAGGCACTGTACTGAATGCTGGGGACACTGAGGCAAAGCAAAAAACCATCTCTGCCTCTTCTAAGGAAAACAGCAAGGAAATACCTAGGGATGTATGCTGGGCGTTGTAAGAAGTGCTGAAGAGAGGGAAGATTTCAGAGAAACCTAGGAAGACCTGCATGAACGGATGCTAAATGAAGCGAGCAGAACCAGGAGAACAGTTTCTACAATAGCAACAGTGTTGTCAAGACAGACAACTTTGAAAGTCTTAGGAACTCTGCTCCACACAGTGACCAACTATAATGCCAAAGGACCCGTCTTCAAACTGGATGCCTGCATTCTGTTTTTTATCCAGCTGCTTTATTTATTTTCTGTAAATAATATTTTTGTTTTCCCCCCCAATTACATGTAAAGACAATTTTTAACATTTATTTAAAAAAAGAAAACTTTGAGTTCCAAATTCCCGTCGTCCCCCCATGCCATCATGCAAAACATATTTCCACATTAGTCATGTTGTGAAAGAAGGCAAGAGATCCAAATTAAAAAAATAAAGTGAAAAATAGTGTGCTTCAATCTGCATTCAGACTCCATCAGTTCTTTTTCTGGAGGTGGATAATATTTTTCATCATGACTTCTTTTGGAATCGTCTTAGATTATTGTATTGCTGAGAAGAGCTAAGTCATTCACAGTTGATCATCTCCTTCTGCTTCTGTCCTATTGAGAGGTGATGGACTCAGTGCAGATTGAGGTGTACTTTTTGGGGCATGGCCAATTGGGAATTTGTTTTGCTTGACTATGCTTGCTTGCAACTGCCTTCTTGTTGAGGGGGAGGGGAGATGGCTCTTAAATAAAATTTAATTAAAAAACAACTCGGTACATAGAAAATCTATACAGAGGGAGGGGGAGTTTGCTTAAAAGAGACCTGGAAAGGTCTCCTGGCAGTAAGTGGGGTTTGAGCTGCCTCTTAAAGGGAGCCAGGATAACTAGGAGTTGGAAGGGAGGAAGGAGAGTGTTTCAGGCATGGGGGTCAGCCAGTAAAAATGCCTGCACTTGGGAGTCAGAGGAGCTGGTATAGAGTCAGGTGGAAGAAGGCTGGAAAGCTGGGAGGGGGCCAAACTAGGAAAAATTTTTTAAAACTTTATTTTATTAATTTATTTTTTGTTTTCATTCACTTTCATAAGCTTTTGAGTTTAAAATTTTTCTCCACCTCCCTCCCCACCTACCTCCCCAAGACAGCATACAATCTGATATAGGCTATACATATACATTCCTATTAAATGTATGTTCACATTAGTCATGTTGTAAGGAAGAATTAGAACCAATAGGAGGAACCACAAGAAAGAAGAAACAAAACAAAACAGAAGGAAAAAAAAATAGCAAATAGTGTGCCTTGATCTGCATTCAGACTCCACAGTTCTTTCTCTGGATGTGGATAGCATTTTCCATCATGAGACTTTTGGAGATGTCTTCGGTCCTTGCATTGCTGAGAGGGGCCAAGTCTATCAAAGTTCATCATCGCACAGTGTGGCTGTTTCTGTGTACACCATTCTGGTTCTGCTCACTT